AGCCATGGCGACGACAGCGACGCAGTGCAAGCAGCAGGGAAAGAGCTCGCAGTGTCAGTGGGACTGTGCTCACCAGGCAGGGCAGGTCGTGTAGGTATGCAGAAAGGCGGCTCGGGTGCTGGGCGGCTCGGCTGCTGGGCGGCTCGGGCGCAGGGCGGCTCGGCTCCCGGGCTGCTCGGCGGCTGGGCGGCTCGAGTGCAGGGCGGCTCGGCTCCCGGGCGGCTCGGCGGCAGGGCGGCTCGGGTCCCGGGCGGCTCGGCGTCGGGCGGCTCGGCTCACGGGCGGTTCGGCTGCTGAGGCGGCTCGGCCAGGAGATGCAGGGGCGGGGCCGTCAGGTGCAGCGGCGGGTTGACCGGTGCAGTGGCAGGCCGGCAGGTGCAGCGGCGGGCCGGCAGGTGCAGTGGCGGGCCGGCAGGTGCAGCGGCGGGCCGGCAGGTGCAGGCGGCGGGCCGTAGGGTGCAGTGGCGGGCCGTAGGTGCAGCAGCGAGGCCGGCAGGTGCAGCGGCGAGGCCGTCAGAGGCGGTAGGCCGCTGGGTGCAGCGGCGGGCCGGCAGGTGCAGTGGCGGGCCGGCAGGTGCAGCGGCGGGCCGTAGGGTGCAGTGGCGGGCCGGCAGGTGCAGCGGCGGGCCGGCAGGTGCAGTGGCGGGCCGGCAGGAGAGGAGGCGGAGCCGCGTCAGGGGAGGCGGCAGGGCCGCGTCAGGGGAGGCGGCGGAGCCGCGTCAGGGGAGGCGGCGGTGCCGCGTCAGGGGAGGCGGGGGAGCCGCGTCAGGGGAGGCGGCAGGGCCGCGTCAGGGGAGGCGGCGGGGCCGCGTCAGACAGGCGGCGGGGCCGCGTCAGGAGAGGCGGCGGAGCCGCGTCAGGGGAGGCAGCGGGGCCGCGTCAGGGGAGGCGGCGGAGCCGCGTCAGGGTAGGCGGCGGGGCCTCGTCAAACAGGCGGCGGGGCCGCGATCAGGAGAGGTGGCGGGGCCGCGTCTGAGGGACAGCGGGGCCGCGAGGGAAAAGGCGACCCGAGGGGGGTCGCTAAAAAAAAGGGCGCGCCTCGGGGCGCGCTTCGGTGGGCCCTAAAAAAACGGTCCTAAGGTAGGACCCGCTCTATACCATGTGAAGTAAAGAAAACAGGAATGAAATGACTAAGGAAAGATTGGGTACAAATACAACCCTAGAAACCCTGTACCCCATATGTGCTACCCCACTATAGCCTACAGCAACTATGTCATATAAATCTGACACGTTTCCCTAACATCAAAAAGGGCCTTGCATCGAATGCCTCATCTCATCTTCAACAGAATGAGACAGCCAGAGGAGCTGGGAGGAAGGATGATGGGGGAGACGGGGAAACCAGGAGAGGGTGGGTGGAACAGGGAAGGGCAGGATAGTTGGGTGGGGTCGGTGTAAGTTGTTACAGGTCAACCAGGAAGCAGAATCGGTCCTTATGTGAAAGATATGAGAAGTTTAGTGAATTACATATATATGTATGGTTACGGTGAATCCATACTGCAAAGCATGAATGTGAAAAACAAACACAGTCCGTGTACTAATGCCAGTGAGAGGCATCAGCAATAACCAGCAGTTCAGAGCCAAGTTTGCCTCCCAGGCCCCATGTACAGACTGCATGGTGTGTGCAGTGAGAAGCATTACTGCATGTGTGATTGGAATGGATTGATTGACTGGTTGTTAGGAACCCTGCGCATGAACAGCAACACGCATTGCATGCAGGAGAAGAAACTAGCAGTGTGTTGTGCAAACAAAGGCATGTGTGCACATGCACAAATGCAGACATGGGCACATGCACACATGGGCACAAGAACACATGGGCACATGCACACATGGGCACATGCACTGCGCACATAGGCACAAGAACACATGAGCACATGCACACATGGGCAAATGCACACATGGGCAAATGCACACATGCATCTGCGCCCTCGGATCTGTACCCTCCAATCCGCACCCTCAAATCTGCACCCTCCAATCTGCACCCTCCAATCTGCACCCTCCAATATGCATCCTCCAATCTGCATCCTCCAAACTGCGCCCTCCAATCTGCGCCCTCCAATCTGCACCCTCAAAGCTGTACCCTCCAAACTGCACGGACCAAACTTCTATTATCAGGCACCCGCCACAGCCCCCACCATCGTCACCATCCCCCCAAACGCCCTTAGTCCAGTTCCATTATCTTTGGGCGGCTTCATACCAGCCATTCAGATCGCCTTTGCTTGCCCCCAGACCTGGAGACTGCCTTGTTCAATGGCCATCGTCACTGCGAGCCTTCGCATCCAGGTCTGGGGCCGAGCAGCCTCAGCCTGTTGGAGCGAGCAAGCTGAGCCTCGGTTAGTAATCCTGTTGACGGTACACGCTCCGAGCCTGAAGCCTCGGCAGTCACTGGCATGCGCTTATTCTCACCTCACTACTCGCCGCGAGCCATCGCCACCATCCCTTGCCTCCATGCCCACGTGCTCCCCACACACCCAATCGCCTCATCTCATGCGCGCACTCGCACCACACTGCTCGCCCGAGCCATGGGCGAGCTCGAATTCTTAGTCGACTCAAGCAAGAATCAAGTCAGCGCCTGTTCCCTGGGCAGTCACTCTGCGCCGCCAGCGGCAGGCAGCGGCACGATCATGGTAATGCACGCCCCTCCCTATGCCATCGAGGTGACTTATGAGTTGACTCAAACGTCAGCGGCAGGCCGCAGAACGAGCATGATGATACACGCTCCCCCAACCGCCCCCGCCGCCCCCACCATCGTCACCACTGCCAAGGCCTTTTACCCTAGGTTGTCACTCCGCCGCGCCATCAGCGGCAGGGCGAGGCACGAACATGATGATACACGCTCCCCACACCGCCTTTTGAGACGCCTCCAAGTCAGTGCCTGTCCCCTCGGCTGTCACTCCGCGCCATCAGTGGCAGGCCGGGGCACAAACATGATTAAACACGTCCCCCCAACCGCCACTGACACCGACATGACTTTTGAAGTCGAGTCAACCGTCAGCGGCAGGGCGAGGCACGAACATGATGATACACGCTCCCCCCACCGCCACCGCCGCCCCCACCAAGTCCCACACGTCCGGAGCCGTCCGATCGACGGCCCAGCCCCACAGGAGCGCGAGCAGGATGAAGATCCCACCGTACGCTGCGTACGTGCGCGCGAAGGAAGCATCCTGGAAGGTGGCGACCAATCCGTAGCCGAAGAGGATCGCGGCGCCAAGGAAACACCAGGCCCAATGCCAGCCGTTGACTCGCCACTGCCACACGAACCAACCGCCGGCGATCTCGAGGATTCCCGCCGCGACGAAGAGCGCGAGCGACTTGAGAACGTCGAGCGGCGCGTAATTCATGCCGCGATGCCGCAATGCCGCCCGGAATGCTGCGATGACGGGATGCCGGCGATGCGTGCGAGATAGCTAAACGCGATGACGCAATACCGGATCTGAGTGCGTGCGTACGTGTGTGCTTCGGACACGAACTAAGTGTATATTGGGTCAGGGCGATGCCGAATAAGACGGCGTGATTTCTTTGCCGACTCAAAAGGGCCTCGAGGGCGTGGAGTGGCGCGTACTACTTCATGCCGCAATGCTGCCGCTGCGTGCGTATTAGGACACGAAAGGAAGCGCGGTTAGGTCGGGGAGATGCCAAATGACACAACGCCACGCCATACTACATGTTACTCGTAGAAGCCATTCTTTGATGCGGGACGCACTACGGAAGTAGTATTCCTTTGTATTTATTCTTCGGCGGGTATTCCTTGATATTGACTTGCTTGGTCGATCCGCGCCAAGTTGGCACCCATACCAACCGCTTGCAACCGCGCTGCAAGGGGATCCCGTGAAAGATCGCACCCAAAACTTGGGCTCATATTCTGGCCGAGGCATCTTATGTGCGAGCGGACTCTAGCGCGAGCAGCAGAGGTTCGTACCAGAAAATAAACCGAACTAGATTTCTAGGTGTTGCAAAGAGTGGTTGGTCCAATTTTCATCTCAATCTGAAACTTGGGTGATCGTGTCACACTGTCTGGCCGGTCTCGGAAAGCAGGTCGCGAAGGCTGCAGACTTTGCGGTGTAACCCGATTGGAAGGTTTGCGCGCTCCCACCGCTCAGCTCCAGTGATGTTCTGACCCGCGCCCTTATCTCTCGTTCTGCACGACTAGCCTTGCATTGCATGGCTCGAGCAGTTGAGGCGAAACAATGTCGCTTTTCTCGCTTCGCGTTCTCTCCACATGCACGTGCCACGTGGCGTTCCAGACTGAATCCATCCGCAGGGCTTCGGTTCCAGATTGGAATCGAAGCGCCAAGAGCCAGCAACCAGCGACGCGAACCAGGTTCATGGAGGTTCGGATTGGCCCGAACGCGCGCCAGGCTTGCGCCTGGGAAATTTCGATCGCTCTGCGGCCCTACCAAATTCAGAGAGCATGCGGCTCGGGCGCGCACACGAACGAGGGCGGCGACAGTCGGAAGGCGCCTCAGGGGGCGTGCGACGGTGGGAAGGGGCCGGTGGACTCAGAAGGGCTCTGCGGGATGCACCACGCGTCTCAGCTGCGCGCAGTTGTTCACACTAAACACTCGGACGATTCGCTCGGTCAGACGTTCCGCTGATAGGTTGTATCGTGTCCCCGTCCCTGTCGGCTTGTTCAACCCATAACATCCGCTACCCGGACGATCCGCTACGAGGATCCGCTAGTACCGTATCGGATCCACAGCAAGCCGTTGTGATGCGATGTTTGAATCGACTCGGATTTTTTCAAATCAGCTACCGCATTCGGACACACAGGAAGCCTCGTAAGGCCAGGAAGCAATAGCGGGGTGGAAGGGCACGGGGAAAGGGGCGTGAGTGCGCGCTGCGTGGGGGGGAGGCGCGTGAGTGCGCAGTGCGCGCCGCTGCAGGAGCAAAGGGGGGTAGCGGAGGAGCAGGAAGCGCTAAGGATAGGGAGTGCGGGAAAGCTCCTATAGGGGCAAGGCCAGAGGGCGGTGCGGCAGCAGCCTGCCGGAGGCAGAGGGGTGGGGATGGGTGGGCGTTGGTGGCGAGCGGTGGTGGGACGCCTGAGTCTCATGCAGCGAGGCAAGGCGCCCCTGAGGTACAGCCACAGCCGCAATCCCTGGCAGGGTGGGCGCGCTGGGGGAGCCAAGGGGGTTGCGGGGGCGGAGGGGGTTGGAGGGGCGGAGCACATGGGCGCGCAAGGGGGTGCGTGGACGGGGGGAGTTGCGCCAGGCAGGGGAGGGGGGTGGGGGTCGCTGCTGGTTGCCTGTGCTGCAGGGGCGGCTGGGTGTGCGGTGGTGGAGATGGGGGTGGAAAAGGGAAAAGAAGCTGCTGGCGTGATGGCGGATGCATGGAGGCAGATGCAGGGGGATTGGCTGCTGCTGCGGGTGGAGTGTGCTGACGTGGTTGCTCTTAGTGCTAGCATCAAATCTGATGATAGCGAATCGTTCTTGAAAAACCGTGAATCTGGTGGGGATGGTGGGGCAGGTGGGGCTGGTGGTGGAAATGAGAGAAATGGGAGCAGCAGCGTCGTTGCAAGCACCAGCAGTGAAATCACTGGTGGCAAGTCCAGTGGCGGCGTTGTGGGCAGGAAGCGGGTGGTGGTGCTGGGGTCGGGGTGGGGCGCGGTGAGCTTCCTTAAAGCCATAGACGCACATGGGTACGATGTGACTCTCATCTCGCCCCGCAACTTCTTCCTCTTCACGCCGCTGCTGCCAAGTGTCACCACAGGAGTGGTCGAGGGCAGGAGCATTGCTGAGCCAATCAGACGCATCCTGCTGCGGGTGAGTTTTCAATCAATCAGGTGCTGCCAGCAATGCCATGCCATGCAATCAGTGCCATTATCGAGTGCAGTAGCAAAGCCTTCGTGACTTATCCATCCCTCTTCTCCCGCTGCCCCTCGCCCCACTCACCTCCTCTTCCGCCCGCCTTCCTCTCGCCCTCCTATCAGCATGCATCACAGCTCGTTTAATTGCTGCCAAGTGCTCGAGGAGGGTCACAATTTGAGCTTCAAGGCGATGCCCGCCCTAACCTCCGACTTACCACTGCCTTCCCACCACATCCACTCTGCGCCCTCACTCAACCCCTTGCATCCCTCCCCTCCAGATCCCCCTGTGCTGGCAGCACAGCAGCTCGGCTCGTTTCCTCGAGGCGGAGTGCACGACCATCGACCCACCACTTGACACACAAGTGGCTGCTCTTTCTTCCTTCTACCCCCCCTCCCCCTCCTTCCCCCCCCTGCTCTCAGCACGGCAGCTCGGCTCGTTTCCTCGAGGCCGAGTGCATTGCCATCGACCCCGCCTCCAGGACCCTCTCCTGCCGCGCCCCTGCTGCCCTGCCCGCTGCCGCGCTGCCCGCTCCGCTGCCCGTGCCGGCTGTTGCAAAGGCTGGAGGCCAGAAGGAGGGTGACGGGGTAAGAGGAGGAGAAGGAAAAGGAGAAGGTGGTAATGCCTCGGGTGGTGGTGGTGGTAACGCTTCTCCTGCTGCCGCCGCTGCTGCTGCTGCCGCTGCTGCTGTTGGGGTTGGTGGTGATGCTGCTGCTCGAAATGCTGCTGCTGCTGGGGGTAAATCTGGCGGTGAGGCGAGGGGAGAAGGTGGCGGGGAGTGTGGTGGGGCGAGGGAGGTGCACTTCTCAGTGCCGTACGACATGCTGGTGGTGGCCGTGGGGGCCGTCCCCAACACATTCAATGTTCCAGGCGTGCAGCAGCACTGCCACTTCCTCAAGGCAAGTACTGGCCACCAGGCATGGGGTAGGGGCACGGGGTAGGGGCACGGGGTAGGGGCACGGGGTAGGGGCACGGGGTAGGGGCACGGGGTAGGGGCACGGGGTAGGGGCACGGGGTAGGGGCACGGGGTAGGGGCACGGGGTAGGGGCACGGGGTAGGGGCACGGGGTAGGGGCACGGGGTAGGGGCACGGGGTAGGGGCACGGGGTAGGGGCACGGGGTAGGGGCACGGGGTAGGGGCACGGGGTAGGGGCACGGGGTAGGGGCACGGGGTAGGGGCACGGGGTAGGGGCACGGGGTAGGGGCACGGGGTAGGGGCACGGGGTAGGGGCACGGGGTAGGGGCACGGGGTAGGGGCACGGGGTAGGGGCACGGGGTAGGGGCACGGGGTAGGGGCACGGGGTAGGGGCACGGGGTAGGGGCACGGGGTAGGGGCACGGGGTAGGGGCACGGGGTAGGGGCACGGGGTAGGGGCACGGGGTAGGGGCACGGGGTAGGGGCACGGGGTAGGGGCACGGGGTAGGGGCACGGGGCACGGAGCACTGGGCACGTGCCTCGCTGCGTCTTGCCGCGTCGCTGTGTACTTCTGTGATTGCCTGTTCTGCGTGTCACTCCTGAAGGTTCGCTGCCAGGAGACTGGTCACTCCTTGTACCACCCTCCGCAATCTCTTGTTCCACCTCATGTGCCTATCCATTCTCCCCATCATCCCGGCATGCCGTCTCCCCCATCTCTCTACCCCATCTCTCCTCGTCATCTCTCCCCCCATCTCTCCTCGCCATCTCTCCCCCCATCTCTCCTCGCCATCTCTCCCCCCATCTCTCCTCTCCATCTCTCCCCCCACTCTCCTCGCCATCTCTCCCCCCATCTCTCCTCGCCATCTCTCCCCCCATCTCTCCTCGCCATCTCCCCCCCATCTCTCCTCGCCATCTCTCCCCCCGTCTCTCCTCGCCATCTCCCCCCCAATCTCTCCTCGCCATCTCCCCCTCAATCTCTCCTCGCCATCTCCCCCCCAATCTCTCCTCGCCATCTCCCCCCCAATCTCTCCTCCCGCCCCCTGCGTCTCGTCATCCCCCCTGCCAGTCTCTGGACGATGCAGAGGCCATCCTAAACACGCTCATTGACTGCTTCGAGGCGGCGTTTTTGCCGGGAATCGAAGCAGAGGAGCAACACAGGTAGCCACTAGGAGCAGCAGAGGTAGCAAGCACCACCTTTACGTGCCACTCGTCCGTGTTGTGTTGTGCCACTCTCCTCCTTCTCCCGCTTCCCTCTCTGTCCTCCTTCATCTTTCACTTCCTTGCCTCTCCCAGCCTTCCACCACCACTTTATGCACCCTTCTGTGCCCCTCTGAACACCTCTTTGTCTCGCTATGCGCTACTCCCCTTCTCCACCCCGCACCCCCCATCCCCCACCTCTCACCGCTTTGATCCGAAACACGCTCATTGACCCTGTGGCCCTCGCCCCTCAATCCCGCATGTCGCTTGTCGTACCTCCGTTTTATCCTTCCACCCCACCGGCTGCTGCGCGTAGTGGTGGTGGGGGGCGCCCCCACAGGGATGGAGGTGAGGGATGAGGTGCGTCTCATTTCTTGTCTTGCCAGCAGCAGCGAGATGAGACAAGAAACGGTGGTAGTGTTACCTCTTCCTAGTGTTAGTGACAGCAGCAGCGAGGTGAAATGAAAAGTGAAACAAAGAGAGACAGGCCTCACTTTTTGTCCTACCTCTCTATAACCCTCCGTCCACCTCAGGCTGCTGCACGTGGTGGTGGTGGGGGGCGGTCCCACGGGCGTGGAGGTGGCAGCAGCAGTGCACGACATGGTGCAGGGGGACCTGTACCACCTCTACCCCACACTCAAGGGCAAGGCTTCCGTCTCTCTGCTGCAGTCAGGCGACCACATTCTCAACATGTGAGATTGGATTGGGTACTCTCAGGGGGATTTTGAGGTGCCTGACGGGGGTGGAGTGGAGGTGGCTGGCAGCAGCAGTGCACGTCACGACAGGGTAGAGGGGGACCTCTGCCGCCTTTATCCTGCCCTCAAAGGGAGGCCTCTGTGTCTTTGCTACGGTCAGGGGATCACATTCTCAACATGCCTGCCTCATCTCACCTCTTCTCACCTAACAGTCAGGGGATCACATTCTCAACATGCCTGCCTCATCTCACCTCTTCTCACCTAACAGTCAGGGGATCACATTCTCAACATGCCTGCCTCATCTCACCTCTTCTCACCTAACAGTCAGGGGATCACATTCTCAACATGCCTGCCTCATCTCACCTCTTCTCACCTAACAGTCAGGGGATCACATTCTCAACATGCCTGCCTCATCTCACCTCTTCTCACCTAACAGTCAGGGGATCACATTCTCAACATGCCTGCCTCATCTCACCTCTTCTCACCTAACAGTCAGGGGATCACATTCTCAACATGCCTGCCTCATCTCACCTCTTCTCACCTAACAGTCAGGGGATCACATTCTCAACATGCCTGCCTCATCTCACCTCTTCTCACCTAACAGTCAGGGGATCACATTCTCAACATGCCTGCCTCATCTCACCTCTTCTCACCTAACAGTCAGGGGATCACATTCTCAACATGCCTGCCTCATCTCACCTCTTCTCACCTAACAGTCAGGGGATCACATTCTCAACATGCCTGCCTCATCTCACCTCTTCTCACCTAACAGTCAGGGGATCACATTCTCAACATGCCTGCCTCATCTCACCTCTTCTCACCTAACAGTCAGGGGATCACATTCTCAACATGCCTGCCTCATCTCACCTCTTCTCACCTAACAGTCAGGGGATCACATTCTCAACATGCCTGCCTCATCTCACCTCTTCTCACCTAACAGTCAGGGGATCACATTCTCAACATGCCTGCCTCATCTCACCTCTTCTCACCTAACAGTCAGGGGATCACATTCTCAACATGCCTGCCTCATCTCACCTCTTCTCACCTAACAGTCAGGGGATCACATTCTCAACATGCCTGCCTCATCTCACCTCTTCTCACCTAACAGTCAGGGGATCACATTCTCAACATGCCTGCCTCATCTCACCTCTTCTCACCTAACAGTCAGGGGATCACATTCTCAACATGCCTGCCTCATCTCACCTCTTCTCACCTAACAGTCAGGGGATCACATTCTCAACATGCCTGCCTCATCTCACCTCTTCTCACCTAACAGTCAGGGGATCACATTCTCAACATGCCTGCCTCATCTCACCTCTTCTCACCTAACAGTCAGGGGATCACATTCTCAACATGCCTGCCTCATCTCACCTCTTCTCACCTAACAGTCAGGGGATCACATTCTCAACATGCCTGCCTCATCTCACCTCTTCTCACCTAACAGTCAGGGGATCACATTCTCAACATGCCTGCCTCATCTCACCTCTTCTCACCTAACAGTCAGGGGATCACATTCTCAACATGCCTGCCTCATCTCACCTCTTCTCACCTAACAGTCAGGGGATCACATTCTCAACATGCCTGCCTCATCTCACCTCTTCTCACCTAACAGTCAGGGGATCACATTCTCACATGCCTGCCTCATCTCACCTCTTCTCACCTAACAGTCAGGGGATCACATTCTCAACATGCCTGCCTCATCTCACCTCTTCTCACCTAACAGTCAGGGGATCACATTCTCAACATGCCTGCCTCATCTCACCTCTTCTCACCTAACAGTCAGGGGATCACATTCTCACATGCCTGCCTCATCTCACCTCTTCTCACCTAACAGTCAGGGGATCACATTCTCAACATGCCTGCCTCATCTCACCTCTTCTCACCTAACAGTCAGGGGATCACATTCTCAACATGCCTGCCTCATCTCACCTCTTCTCACCTAACAGTCAGGGGATCACATTCTCAACATGCCTGCCTCATCTCACCTCTTCTCACCTAACAGTCAGGGGATCACATTCTCAACATGCCTGCCTCATCTCACCTCTTCTCACCTAACAGTCAGGGGATCACATTCTCAACATGCCTGCCTCATCTCACCTCTTCTCACCTAACAGTCAGGGGATCACATTCTCAACATGCCTGCCTCATCTCACCTCTTCTCACCTAACAGTCAGGGGATCACATTCTCAACATGCCTGCCTCATCTCACCTCTTCTCACCTAACAGTCAGGGGATCACATTCTCAACATGCCTGCCTCATCTCACCTCTTCTCACCTAACAGTCAGGGGATCACATTCTCACATGCCTGCCTCATCTCACCTCTTCTCACCTAACAGTCAGGGGATCACATTCTCAACATGCCTGCCTCATCTCACCTCTTCTCACCTAACAGTCAGGGGATCACATTCTCAACATGCCTGCCTCATCTCACCTCTTCTCACCTAACAGTCAGGGGATCACATTCTCAACATGCCTGCCTCATCTCACCTCTTCTCACCTAACAGTCAGGGGATCACATTCTCACATGCCTGCCTCATCTCACCTCTTCTCACCTAACAGTCAGGGGATCACATTCTCAACATGCCTGCCTCATCTCACCTCTTCTCACCTAACAGTCAGGGGATCACATTCTCAACATGCCTGCCTCATCTCACCTCTTCTCACCTAACAGTCAGGGGATCACATTCTCACATGCCTCAGTCAGGTGAGAAGAGGTGAGATGAGGTGAGGCATGCCGTGAATGGCGTAGACCTGTCTGTACCACCTCTACCCTGCCCTCCATGGAAAAGCCTCCGCTCCTCTGCTACAGCCGGGTGAACACATACCAGGTGGTGCTGTCAGTGCCACGAGCCATGGCTTGGATTTTGAGTCTTACTCGACAATGCACACCTGCAGATGAGTGTTTCTGAGAGTTCTCAGAAACGCCCTGCAGCCACGGCTGGGGTTTTGAGTCTTACATTGATGATGCACACCTGCAGATGGGATGGGTCAGGTCAGCCCCCCATTCCCCAATTGACATCCCCATGGCCTTCTCCCTCTCAGCTAAAACCTCACTCCCTCTTAACATCCTTCCCATGACCTCCCCATGCCCTCCCCGTGCTCGCACCCCTGCCTTGCTCCCCCCTTGCCTTTTGGTGCCGCCCGCTATCAGGTTTGATCTGCGCATATCTGAGTTTGCCGCCCGCAAGTTCCAGCGGGACGGCATCACTGTTCACACGCACGCGCGCGTCACGGCTGTCACTCCGCGCGCTCTCCATGTGCGGGAGACGAGCAGCAGCAGGGAGAGCGGCAGCAGCGATGGCAGCAAGAGTGGAGTGCACGGCCGCAGCAGTGCGGAGAGCAGTAGTGGTGGAAAGAGCAGCGGGGAGAGGGAGGTGCCGTATGGAGTGGTGGTGTGGGCAACAGGCATCACGGCGCATCCCCTGGTTGTGAAGCTGAGGGAGCAACTTGGGCAGGTGAGTTTTGGGGCAGGTACAAACTGTGAACAGAGCGGTGGTGCGAAAAGCAGGAGGCAGAGGGAGGTGCAGTATGCGTATGGAGTGGTGGTGTGGGAGCGACAGGCATCACGGCCCATCCCCTCGTTGTGCAGTTGAGAGAGCAACTGAGGCAGGTAAATTGACACCAGAGTGGATGGCAGTGAGTGGATGGCAGTGAGTGGATGGCAGTGAGTGGATGGCAGTGAGTGCCCACATCAACCGCTCTCTCTTCTCCCCATTGGAGCACCACAAGCGGAGATGGATGGTGGATGCAGTGAGGGGGCACACACCACTCTCATCACGTCCTCTTCTGTTTTCCCTCTTCGCTCCGCCTCTTGAATCCTGCTTACATTCCCCCTTCCCGCCTACACCGTTGCAGCACCACAAGCGAGCATTGGAGGTGGACGAGTGGATGGCAGTGAGAGGGGCAGACAGCATTCTCATCACCGTTCCCTCTTTCCTTTGATGCTCCCCTTTCCTCTCCCCTCTGCAGCACCACAAGCGAGCATTGGAGGTGGACGAGTGGATGGCAGTGAGAGGGGCAGACAGCATTCTCATCACCGTTCCCTCTTTCCTTTGATGCTCCCCTTTCCTCTCCCCTCTGCAGCACCACAAGCGAGCATTGGAGGTGGACGAGTGGATGGCAGTGAGGGGCGCAGAGGCGGGCAGCATGTGGGCGCTGGGCGACTGTGCTGCCATTCACCACCGCCCCTTCACGACTGTGCTGCCATTCACCACCGCCCCTTCACGACTGTGCTGCCATTCACCACCGCCCCTTCACGACTGTGCTGCCATTCACCACCGCCCCTTCACGACTGTGCTGCCATTCACCACCGCCCCTTCACGACTGTGCTGCCATTCACCACCGCCCCTTCACGACTGTGCTGCCATTCACCACCGCCCCTTCACGACTGTGCTGCCATTCACCACCGCCCCTTCACGACTGTGCTGCCATTCACCACCGCCCCTTCACGACTGTGCTGCCATTCACCACCGCCCCTTCACGACTGTGCTGCCATTCACCACCGCCCCTTCACTGTGAGTTTGAGTAAAACACGGGTTGGCATGGCAGCTTGTGAGGCGGGGAGCATGTGAGGGGGGCAGCATGTGAGGGGGGCAGCATGTGAGGGGGGCAGCATGTGAGGGGGGCAGCATGTGAGGGGGGCAGCATGTGAGGGGGGCAGCATGTGAGGGGGGCAGCATGTGAGGGGGGCAGCATGTGAGCAGCATGTGAGGGGGGCAGCATATGGGGCTGTCTGTACCCATCAGCCCCCTATCGCATCCCCTCCACCTACACTTCCCTTCACCCCTCTTCTGTCCCATGTGCTCCCGGTTTGTTCTCAGATCGCAATAGCTCATCTCTTTCCCTTGTCTCCGACAGTTATTGCCGTCCCTTTCCTTGCACTCTCTCCTCCCCTCTTTCTCCCCCCTCCCCTCTTTCTCCCCGCTCCCCCCCCCCCCCCCCCCCTTTCTCCCCCCTCCCCCATCCGCCCCTTCATGTCCCCTCACGTCGCGCCTCCGTTTTCCCGCCTCTTTCCCCCACCGCTACGCCCCGTCCAACCCCTCGCATGATCATTGTGCGTGCAGGACGAGGCAGCTCGCATATTCCTTACTCTCGCCTTCTTCCCTGTCCTTCCATGCCCCGCCCCGTCTCCCATGTCACCACTCTGCTCCTCTCACTGTGCGGCCAGGACGACACAGCGCGCATATTTCGAGCCTTTGACACCAACGGGGATGGCTGCCTCTCGCCCTCCGAGACCAAGGCAGCCCTGCGAGCCCTCCAGCAGCGCTACCCGCATGCTGCCGCTCTGCTCAGGTCACGGGACCGCATGGCACAGCTCGTTCAGGTACACCCCTGTCCCTTTTCCTGCTGCCACCCAGTCTCTGAGTCCAAGACGACTCGTCAATCCCTCTTACTATAGCTGTGCTGCTCTCATGCTGCCGCTCTGCTCAAATCAAGGGACCGCATGGCACAGCTCGTTCAGGTACACCCCCCTTCCCCCTCACACTGCCCCTGTGCTGCTGTGGAGAGATGGGTCAAGCGAGCTCCTTCTGGTAGATACGGATGGATGCGGTGCGGTTGGTGTTTGACGGTGTGCTGAGGGGTCAGTCAAGTCATCCCACCTTCATGCGGCAGGGATGGAAGGAGCGAAGTTTTAACTGCATCTGCTGGCACCGAGCTGCGTCTGCTAATACCCAGCTGCATCTGCTCCCACCAAGCTGCACCTGCTCCCACCCAGCTGCATATGCTATTACCCAGCTACATCTGCTTCCACCCAGCTACATCTGCTTCCACCCAGCTACATCTGCTTCCACCCAGCTACATCTGCTTCCACCCAGCTACATCTGCTTCCACCCAGCTACATCTGCTTCCACCCAGCTACATCTGCTTCCACCCAGCTACATCCGCTTCCACCCAGCTACATCTGCTTCCACCCAGCTACATCTGCTTCCACCTTAGCGGATGGAGCTGGGAGGCTTAGGGTTGTGGTATTGGGGGTGGGGAGGTGGGTGGCAGACGTAGGGGAGGAGGTGAGCAGGGGGGGCTGTGAACTTACTGTTGCTTGTATGGGACAAACACTGAGACAAAAACAGTTCCGATGCACCCTCCACCCGCACCCCATGTTGTTCTCACTTGCACACCCATCCTGCTTTCTTCTTTCCTCTTCCCCTCGCGCCTTTCCCCCTGGCTCCTCGGTTTCTGTTTCCCCCACGAGCCGGCGCATTGGCAGGATGCATTGCACGCGGACAGCAAGGCAGGAGCACCGCCAGGCACAGGGGAGCACCGCCAGGCACAGGGGAGCTGGGAAATGAGGGGGGCGAGCAGCAGGCGTGCGAGGGCAGGGAGCTGTCTCTGGAGCAGTTTGAGGCGGTGCTGCGGCGGGTGGAGGGGCAGATGAAGACCCTGCCGGCCACGGCACAGGTGGCAGCGCAGCAGGGGCAGTACGTGGCGCGCTGCTTTAATCGCCTGCTGGACCCGGGGTTGACCCCGGAGGGGCCGCTGAAGCTGCGAGGGGAGGGCCGGCATCTGCTGCAGCCATTCCGGTGAGTGGAAGGGCAGATAGAGGCCCTGCCAGCCATGGTACAGAGGCCGTGCAGCAGGGGCAGTACGTGGCTCGCTGCTTCAACCGCCTGCTGAACCCTGCTCTACCGCCCGAGGGGCCGCTGAAGCTGCGAGGGGAGGGCAGGCACCTGCTGCAGCCGTTCCGGTGAGTAAAGGGGTGTGATGGGTGGTGGGATCAGTGGTGGGATGGGTGGTAGGGCTGGTGGTGGGACGGGATGGCGCAGCAAGAGCAGTACGTGGCGCGCTGCTTCAACCGCCTGCTGGACCCTGCTCTACCGCCCGAGCTGAGAGGCGAGGGCCGGCATCTGCTGCAGCCGTTCCGGTGAGTGGAATGGTGGGATGGGTTGTAGGAAGGATGGGTGGTAGTGGGATGGACGGTCCTTTCAATTGCATCTCACGCAACCCCCCTCCCTCCGCCCTCCCACCACGCAACCAGCTATGTTCATCTGGGGCAGTTCGCCCCTTTGGGGTCGGAGGCCACGGCATCAAAGCCGCTTATCTATCCCAACTGCTCTATTTGTGCCAATTGCTTGTTGTGACCCTGCCCTCCAACATGCAACCAGCTATGTCCACTTGGGGCAGTTCGCCCCTCGGGGTCGGAGACCACGGCTGCGCCTTTTGTGACATCTGAAAACTCCCCTCCGCCCCTCCCCCCTCTCCATCCCCCCTCCCTCCATGCATGCATCCAGCTACGTCCATTTGGGGCAGTTCGCCCCGCTTGGGTCGGAGACCATGGCAGCAGAGCTGCCTGGCGACTGGGTCAGCATCGGCCGGTCCACTCAGTGGCTCTGGTACTCCGTGTATGCCAGGTGGGTGTGATGATGAAGGCCTTTGGTGGCTCTGGTACTCTGTCTATGCCAGGTGGGTGTGCAGCACTCTGTGTCGACAGGTGGGTGTGTTGTGCAGAATGCGTGCTTGCATTCATGTTCTTCACTTGCAGGTCCACACAGTGCCTCTGGTAATCCGTGTATGCCAGGTGAGTGCGCTGTGCAGTATGGGTGCATGCATGTGCTTTGATTGGAGGTCCACACAGTGGCTCTGGTACTCTGTCTACGCCAGGTGGGTGTGTTGTGTACCGTATTGTGGGTGCGTGCATTCTTAGGCAGCAGAAATGCTGCAGCACACTGGGGTCCCTTCTTAGGATCCTTCCAGGAAAAATGCTGCAGCACTCTCTTACTTATGCTTCCCCGTGTCTCACTCTCCTTGCAGTAAGCAAGTCAGTGCGAGGACAAGAGCCCTGGTGGTGTTTGACTGGATCAAGTCGGCTCTATTTGGCCGTGATTCAAGTCGCATGTGAATACGGTAGTGTTGTACTTGCTTAATTGGTTGGTTGATGTTGGGCTGAGAAAGGCTCGTAGGATCTTTTCAAGGCTAAAATCTTAGGTAGGAATAATGTGATTGCGGAAGCGTTTAATGACAAACTGTTGAACCACCTTGCGCTGGTATGTGAGGGCAAGATAGATTTATTATAGCCAGGGCCTCAGAAGTCAGCGAAAAAAGGCTGATTTGGGTGAAAAAGGCTGAGATTTCAGACCTTTTTCAAAATTGTAGCTGATTTTCCAGCATTTTACTGTGGAAGAACAGGAAAATTTATGTGCTTTGTAGTGTAAACTGGCATATGATGGCAGATTTTTCTGATTTTTAGTTTTTTTTTTTTGAACAACTCTGATTGGTTCAGCCTAGCTCAAAACCAATCTTAGGCCCTGATCATAGCAAAGTGTCAAATGTTATAGCCTCAAGTGGGTTGTCAAGATATATTAGATAGGCTATATTGGGGTCAGCACTAGGGGGTACACAAACACTCTCGACCAGGGCTGACGCTATCAGAGTAAATAGTCTGATTAGTCTGACGGATCAGACCATCGAGTTTGTGAAAAATGGAATTCCAGAGTAGTCAAATTTTCATCACTGAGAGCCTCAGAGTTATTGTTTTATGGCCCCTGATTCAGCGTAATAGGCCTCAGTGTTAGTCATTTCTGGAGTCTGTCACTACAGAGTATGCGTTCTGTGGTCCCTGCATGCAAGTTTATCGGGAGGAAGCTTCCTCGAAATTTCCTTTCGATACACCCACCTCCGAGGTTCACTAGTGAGGGTCAAACTGGTGAGTCAAACCCGTCTTGACTGGTCACAGCACCAGCGTCATTAAAAATTCGCGTTGACAAAGCGAAATTCGCGCCGTACGGAGCAACGAATTTGCCCAATCACAGCGAAATGGCCCTGACACAGCAGATTTGAGCTGTCAGAGCACAAAGGTCTTGACCAATCACAGTAAAATGTATCTGACATTGCACATTCGCCCTTTCACAGAACAGATTCGCCATCAAAGTTCAGTTTCGATAATGCACAGCGCGTTACTACACGTACCCTGATCGTGACTTCTCGACCCTGAACACTCAGACTGTATAACTTCCCAACACTGAGCAATCAGGGTGCTGCTTTTCTGGAAAATATGCCTTCAGGGTTAAAATTATTTTTTTTTGGTGGACATCAGGGTACCTAAATTTGAAACGTCAGCCCTGCTCTCGACACTCTTCTTGTACCCTCACCCCTTGACCTAATTCAACTCCTTTCCTTAGTTTTAGACATGGTATAGAGCAGGAGGTCCTTAGGACCTTAGAAGCTGTTCTTTTAGGGCCCACCCTAAAATCGCATATGGTTACCGCGTTACCCTGCGCCCGCCCTGCCCTACTACGAGTCGCGCTGCCCCTGCTGGCCGCGCGTCATAGCTGCAGCGCGCATTTCCTCTTTTTTTTTTCGCGCGCTGCCCTGCCCGCCCTGCTCTACGCGCGCTGCTCGTCGCGTCGCCCCGTGGGCTCGCCCGTCGACCCGCCGAGCCGCCCGTAGGCCCGCGCACCGCGTCGCCCGTAAGCCCGCGCGTCGCGCAGCCCGTAGGCTCGCCCGTCGACCCGCCGAGCCACCCGTAGGCCCGCGCGCCGCGTCGCCCGTAGGCCCACGCGTCGCGCCGCCCGTAGGCCCGCCCCTCGACCCGCCGAGCCGCCCCTAGGCCCGCGCGCAGCGACGCCCGTCGGCCCGCGCGTCGCGCCGCCCGTAGGCCCGCCCCTCGACCCGCCGCGACGCCCGTAGGCCCGCGCGCCACGCCCCCTGCCCGTTGACCCACTGCGAAGCCCGCCAGCCAGCGCACTGCACCGCTGCCTACATGCCTCCGCGCCTGCTTAAACGTTAGTGACTGTCTCCCCCCCCCCTCCCACGGCGCTCTCTCTCTCTTTCTTTCGCCCCCTATGGCAACCTCCCGAGTACTTCGCTTCGACCCTGAGGGGAGACCGATTGACTTTAGTACGTGGCTTACGCAGGCGCAGCGCCACCTTAAGAGCCAGCGGCAGGATGGCGTGCACCTGTTCGCACACGCGTCCGGCACTCTGACCGCCCCTCTGTAGCCTCGGCCGCTGCTCACTACCCCACCGCCTACTTCTGAGCAGGAGGCCGAGTACCAGCGCCAGCTCCTCGCTCGCGACGTATGGGAGTCTCGTGACGCCGCTGCCTGCCTCGCCCTGACCGACCTTCTCCCACCGACAGAGGCGGTCCACTTCGCACAGGTCGAGTCTGCTGCAGATCTGTATAAGGCTATTGTTGCTCGCTACTCCACTCCCTCCTCTGCTTCGCTCAGTCGCCTCCTCGTATCCTTTATCTACCCTGACCTCGCCTCCTTTGAGACTGTCTCGGACCTCGCTACCCACCTGCGCTCCCTTGACGCTCGCTTTCGCGCTGCTTGCACTGAGGATCAGCTTGCCCTTGCCCCGCCCCCTATGTGGCTCACCATTCACTGGTTAGTCACTCGCCTCCCTGACCGCCTAGCCACAGCCCGCGAGGCGCTTCTTTTGAAGCACCCCACTGAGCTTACCATCGATCTTCTTGAGACCGCTCTCTCGAAGATCGAGAGTAACCTTCTCACTGTTGCCTCTGCCTCTTCCGCGCCTCCTCCTCGTCTCTTTGAGGGGTGTGCGGTACCACGGCTTCCCACCTTCACTGCCTCACTTGCCACCCCCACGTCGTCTTGCTCTGAGGAGACGGCGGCTGTTTCTGTCTCTGGCGGACAAAAACGTGGCAAGGCCGGCAAGAAGGGCGAGAAGGGCGGCGGGGGTACCGGGGGTGGTGCGGGTAGTGGCGGCGGCGGTGGGGCGGGTGGTGGGAGCAGTGGTGGGGGTGGCTCGGGCCCTGACGGCCCTCCTCTTGACGGTGGAGTTCTCACTGGTGGTGCGGGGTTCCAGCAGCAGCAGCAGCAGCAGCAGCCGACTTCTCAGCAGCTGCCACCGCCTGGACAGCAGCAGCGGCAGGGACAGCAGCAGCAGCGCCCGCCACAGCAGCAGCCGCAGCAGTGGGGCCCGCCGCAGCAGGCCCTCAGCAGCAGTGGAGGTCTGCTGGTCCCCCGAGCACTGGGCGCAGTGGTGCCCCCTCCAGTCGGGGGCCTCGCTCGGCTGGCCGCGACGTTGGTCCTTGTGAGTACTGGATCCTTACGGGTCTTCGTAGGGACTCGTACTGTGGCCGCCCCGACCACTCTACTGCACGCTGCTTCAGTCGTCTCGACGACCTCTACCGTTTGCACCACGGCCCCTCCGCTCCCCCGCCGCCACGCGGGGGGACGCTTCTTGCTCGTGGTATTGCTGTTTTTGATATGACTATGGATGATGCTAGGTCCTATGCCATGTATGCTGATGTTGACTATAGTGCTCCTGGATCTGTGTACTTGCCTGTACCTAGCTTAGGCTCTTTGCCTGTTGCTAGAGTAGGTGCTAGTGTAGGATCTTGCTTAGCTACTAGTATAGGTACTCCCTCGGCGGACGCCTCTCTCTCTTTCACACTGGACTCAGGAGCGACGCAGTGCTTCTTTCACGACCGCACGACTCTCTCTCCACTACCGGCGCCAGTCTCCATAGCACTGGCCGATCCCTCTTCGGGACCGGTCATTGCGACTCACGCCACTACGCTCCCGTGCCCAGCTGCTCCTTCCGGTTCCCTGACTGGCCTCCACATTCCTACGTTCTCTAGGAACCTGGTTGGTGTGGGCCCCCTGGCGAGACAGCACGTCGGGGTCTGGGTTGAGCCTTCTGGTGACACAGCGGTCTGTGTGGACGGTGACACGTACGCCCCCTTGGCCACTTTTCGCCAGGAGCCGGGCTCCGGTCTCTACACCCTCCACACCGACCCCCGTCAGGTTCCTCCGTCCCACCAGGTTGCCAGGTCCAGTCAAGTAGCTGTGTCCGGTCTAGTTGCTGCGTCTGGTCAGGTCCCCGCGTCAGGTCCAGTTGCTGCGTTGTGCTCCTGCCGGTCGCTTGCTCACCCCACCGTTCTGTGGCACCACCGGATGGGGCACCCGTCCCTCCTTCGTCTCCGCGCTATGTCCAGTCAGCGTCTTGTCTTAGGCCTCCCCCGAGTCCTCCCGCCACTCCCGCCGTCCCCAGCTCCTCCGAGCGGTCCTTGTGTCCAGGGCCAGCTGCACGCCACCCCTCACTCCTCCTCCCTTCGTCCGGCCACCGAGCCCTTTGAGACTCTCTACTTAGACGTCTGGGGCCCCGCTCCTCGTCTTGGCCCTCAGCGGGAGTGTTTCTTTCTGGTGGTCGTTGACGACTACTCTCGGTACACCACCGTGTTCCCTTTGGCGAAGTAGTCCGACGTGACTTCTACGCTGATCCGGTGGCTCCTCGCCACCGAAGGCACTCATGGTCGTCGTGTCAGTTGTCTTCACTCCGACCGTGGGGGTGAGTTTCGCTCCGGCATTCTCGCCAGATTCAGTGCTGAGCAGGGCATCACCCAGTCCTGGACTCTTCCAGACTCTCCACAGCAGAATGGGGTT